AAAAAACTATAGATACTAACATGTTACTGTAGTGGGTAAAGAACAATTCCACATGTATATTGACAACTCATTATAAAGGCTTTTTAACCATGCCCTTAGATTGTGCATCATAAGATATTGCTGTTTTCTGGTTGTGTAACAATTTGCCACTTCCAAGGGGGAAAAATGTGTGCTTTTGTTTTTTGAAATGAGGTCCTGTGCAGAAGTAGGTAACACGTGACAGGAGAGCAGACGTCCCTCAGAGAAGAATGTTAATGGCAGTGTGCTCCTCTCTGCACTACACGGGGTTGAGGGGAAGGGGCAAACGTACATTTACAGTTGTTTGTATGGAAAATACTACAATAATAAATAAGAATGTAAGAATAAACTGTGTTTCACATACAACTATAAACCTACTTTCGCCCCAGCCTCTATTCTGAGTATATTTGTGGTATAAGAATAAGACAGAACGCTACCTATTAAAAAGGAGAGGGGAAAGTGACATTCCAGTTCAGTATTTAAGACATGTAAAACCTGCCATGCCTTTTATTAAATGTCAAATACGGGAATGACCTGCCGTCCTCTTGGAGTCCAGTACTTTCACAGGAAGAGGTAAGAGCGTGGTCAGGAGCCCCACCAGCTGCCCTGTCCTCCTCCTAAATACCCGATGTTCCTTTCTGAACAATGAAGACAAAGGTGCTTGGCTCCGTTCCTCAGAGAGGCCTCTAATGAAGGACTCATGAGTCACATGTTTTACACAGACGACATGCCTGACGTCAGCCGACAGAAACATCAAGAGAACTGGAGGTATATATAGATACAACCACTCCAAAGCTTAGTCTCACTACTCTCATTGGCCTACGTCCACCTCGATTGCATTAAAATATTTTTATTGAAATTAATAATTTAATCTAATGAATAGTACATAAAAATATTTTAATTAGAAAACTTTATCTTTCTCACAATACTTCTATGGAACAGAAGAGCATCCTTTGCTTGATAGGCATAAGGTCATGATGCCTATGGCAAATACATTAAGAAATTGGCTACTGGGCCTGCAGAGCTCTCAGTTTAATGCACTGAGATGCTCACCCAATGCTTAATTGTAGGCACAGCACTAGATGATCCAGAACACTGGCAAATTCCTCCACCCTATCACATAGCATCCCCAGGGGTCTTCTTAATATGTAAATCAAAACCTACAACTCTGCAGACAAAACTAAAATAGTGTCTCACTCCACTCAGAATAAAAGTAAAAGCTCCCTCTGCAGACACCCCTGGCCTCATCTACCGCTGCACGCCTGCTACCTTTCTCCGGCCACTCTGGATGTTTCCTTCTTTTTCTCCTTATTCCTTGAACACACCACACTCATTCCTGCCTCAAGGCCTTACTGTTGCTTTTTGCCTCAGCCTAGAAACCTCATGCCGCAGACCCTCTCCTCCCCGCCTAGCCCTCCTACCTAAGACAGCTTCCTCCTCTCTCTCCGCATCATCCTGCTGTGTTTTCAGGACAGCACTTATTATTGTGCGAAATTATCCTACTTGGTTACCTGTTTGTGATGCTCATTGCCTATCCGTCCCCCAAAAGCACGAAAGCTCCATGAGTCAAAAGACTCATCTGCCTCTTTCACCTCTGGAGCCCTACCACCAGGAACATATACAAGCACAGAATATGTTTTTTGAAAGAATGAACAAGTTTCAATCAAAGCAGCAAACAGTTATGGGGTGATTTGGAAGTTCACACTTGTTGCAATGTCACAGTTACTTAAAATCATAGTTCTAAATTTTACAAAAGACTCCTCTTTTTCTTACTAAAAATACAAGACAGAACTTAACCTCAGACAGGTTTACCTGCTTCATTTTCATGCTGATATAGAATCTGTTTTTAAATGATCTGGATAAATTGTTTTCATGGAAGAAGAGTATTATGAAAATGGGAAAATCCGACTGTCTCAATTTTAATTGGAACGTAGGTTCAGTAACGTGGGTTCTTGAAATCAGTATGAGTATCGGTGCTTCTCAAACACTACTAATTACCATTGACTGTTAATTCTTTAAGAATATGGGATCGAGCATCAGGTGGGAGAAGAAAGCTATCCAAAGTCAAACTTATTTTTTTATGTTTTGTTGTTTATTCTGTTATAGTTGTTCCAATTATTTCCTCCTTTGCCCTCCTCTGCCCCGCCTGCCCCCTCCCCTGCTCCCAGCCATAGGCAAATTTCTTCCAGAAAGGGAAAAGATGATGACAAACAACAGTTTTGTTAATTGGCAAGTTAATTCCCTTGGAAAGGGACACCAAAGGTAATCACCGCAATGCCCACACCAGCTCCCATCAAGGACTCCTGGCGAAGGAGAACGCTGCAGCCGAGGAACCACAAGAAAGCATGCGGCAGTAATCCCAACTACAGGAATTTATGACACCTAATGACTGTAACCACCTCCACACAACACACCTTTGTTCTCAGGTTTTCCCATATTCAATTCCATCTGGAGCTCTCCTGACCCAGCAGTGTTTCACTGGTCCCTGAAAACATGCTAAAGACAAGTAGTATAATCTTGGGAAACATGAGCCTTTTTTAGCCACTGCACCTTCTCTGAGGAGCGGAGTGAGACCACCGGTGCTCAGTGTAAATTAGAAGGTTTTTTTGGCTAAGCCATGGAAAGAAAAGGAGGTGTTACTGTACTTTTCTACCACTGTGAATATGAAATAGCTATTAATGCTAAGGGAATCTTTATGTGAACCTTAGGATGGAAACCTTCAAAACAATGAAAAGCCATCTCAGCTGAATATAGCTGACTTGCTCCTATATTATATGTGTCAGAGAAGGATTAGGGGTTTTTCAATCATGAAATGTTTCTTTCTAGATTTCATTTTAAGGCGGTCATGGCTTAGCAGTTTCAAACTTATACATGGTTTAATGGTTTCATCCTTTTATTCTTTGACAACATATTTAAATCCAGGTCTATTTCTGTAAAAGACCAAGACTTCAGAAACAGGAATAAAGACAGCCAAGTATATTTAAAGATAACAGGCAATAGATAGTGTTAATGATTACACTACACTTTAGAAATAAATCTTAGGCCACATTCCATCAGAAGGCCTACAGACAGGTTCACAGAAAAGCTAGCCAAACAATGAGTATCATGAAAGTGATAACCAGATAAGGAGTTCAAGGCTATGTGAGCCTTTAGTGTCTCCCGGAGAATCTGTAAGGTATTTCTACAACCGCAACAACCGTTGCCAGTCTATGGACTGCAGTTTCACTTAAGGTTGGTCATGTAATTGTGAGGTGTTAGTTCAGTATTGATAGATCCGGGGGTTGGGTCGGGGGGGGGGGGGGGGAATGTCAAGCCCTTTTAAAGTCATTATACCACACTGAGCACAACACTTCCACCAGAGAGTTAGAGCTAAGAGGTAACATGATGAGAAAGGTTTTCTCATCCCCACAGCTGCTTCAATACCTACATGAAAATCAGAACTAAACCCATTCTATTTGATAAGCACTCACTGCACTTGTACATTTTTTAAAAGGACAGAAAAGAAATAAAAGGAGAAAAACTGGTCAATCTAAGGTAATTGGGGAAGATAGCTGGATAATAAAGAAAAACAATCTTCCATAGCAACAAAATAGAAGAGATTATTTATGTAGATTTATAAGTAGATGAGCTCCAGATGTATTTTTTTAAATCTACTTCTCCCCAGGTGTTTTTCTGCTTAATAAATATAACATCCAAGTTGGAATATTGTTGAAGCATTGAATCACCTAAATCTTGGCTATGCTCTTCTTCTGCTGTTAACTATTTTAAGCTGTTTCTCAATAAGGCAGCCGCTACTGAAATCATCAGTACATAGGCTTGGCAGAGCCAGAAAGAAAAAAAGTACAGTCCACAGATTTGTTTCTTTTGTTTCCCCAAAACAGAATCTCATAAAAAATACGCCCTCAAATCTTGTCACTATGTAGCTGACGGAAAGAGAAATTCTACCCCTATTCATAACTCTGAACATTAAACCCATTTCTTGTGCTACTGAGAAGCTATGTAGCTCCAGGAAGTTGTGAGGCACCATCGCGACTGTTCAAGCTGTATCCAGGCAGAATCATCAGTCAATCAGAAACTTCAGTTTTTTGGGCCAACTTGGAAAAGCACACAGAACAAGTTTGACTTTACTGCCAAGATCATTTCCAGGACATTGGCTAATTAATTATAAAAGCTTTTTCAAAACAAATTTGAGCCTGGCAACCTTTTTTTTTCCCCTACCTAAACAGAGAAAAAAGCAAGTTAAAAATTGAAAAGCCCAAGTTTATTGTCGGTCTTTCTGACAAAGCTTCATCTTTTTTGCAAGACTATCTTCTTCTCATCCTTTGTATATGAAGTTAATAAAACAGTGGGTATAGAAACTGGAACTATTAGTTCGAATTCCTGCTCCACTGTGGGTGTAGAAGAGATCATAGGTCAGTTACAAAGCCTCTCTTCAAACCCTTTCATGGGAAGCAAAGAACAGAGCTTCTTCCTCTTTGCGGAGGATGAAGAGCTCACTGCATTAACTATGGCTATGGTATTAGATGGATAGTCACTACTTACTCTCTAGTTTAATAGACAAATATACAGCTAACAAAACTACATTAACTTTGTCAAAACTATACTCGAGTTAACAATTACCAGAATACCTTAGCCTTTTAAATCACTGCACTTTTCCATAAAGCATCTCATTTAATCCTCACGATAACCCTGAGGTAGTGATTATTATTACTATTTTAAAGCTGAAACAACTATAGCTGCATGATCAAATTACCCAAGAGAATCCATCTGTGAAGGCAGGAGTCAGGACTCCAATTCTTTTGTTTTGAACTTCAAACCCCTTTATATACTGCCTTCTCTTCCCTCAGAAAAAGTATAAAAAAACCTATCTACACATACTGGTTCATTTTAAGTCTGGGAACTATCATTTCTAATCTTTTCCCAGAATCTCCTAAATATACATGTAGTCTTATATTTCAAAGAAGCAAGAATTCTTGGCTTACCTGGTCCTTCTCTGGTTTATCAGAAATGTCATTCAGACTGGAGGAGGTCAGATCCCTATGGGTCATGCCTGGGCTACCTGGGAAAACAAAAGGAAATCTTAATTAAAGGCTTCTTTTCAAAAACACAGAGACTTCGGTTGCACATTTCATCAGTGCCAGCAGATGACAATGGGCATGGTGATGAGGCTTTAGCTGTGTCCAGGTTGAAGCACAAACATGGTTAAATGAAAAGTATGAAAAATCCCAAATAGCTTGTGGAAGTTTTACTGCCAGTCTATATTTTAAGATAAGCTAAACTTTGAAAGAAACATCAAAAACAAGAAGCACAAAAATAAAACTGTTTGTGGTCTGGTTTGGTTTCTGTCACAGCCTTTTACCCCATCCCCGTCTACCTGGCGCCCTTCCTTCCCCATCCCCCGCAGAGAATGTTCCTCTCTTCACATCGGCAGGGCTGGCCCACGGACTCGCGTGCCCACCCTCCCCCCGGGCCTCTGCAGTCTTTCCTAGGACGCTCTCGTTAAAATCAACCCCAAAAGCCATTTGTGTCCCCTTTCTCTAGCTAACACTTTGATCAAGAATATTTCTCCTTAGTGGGCAACCGATCTAGAATCTCCATTCTTTGCCTCCAAATAGTGTGATCAGAGCCTCCCTTACTTTATGCATTCCCATCTGCCAGGCAACAATAGGTGTATCCTTTCGTCTCCCTTAACACGCCACATTTCTTATTCATATTAAGGGATGTTTTCATCAGGAATGCTTCATGGGAACCAAGCTCTCTGGCAACAGCTGCTGTACGTAAAATCCACTGGTAATCGGTCAATGACTTTAGACACTGTTACACAAGAGCCAGAGGAAGGGCATCTAGAAGAGTGGGAGACCAATTTCAAATAACTGTGTTAATCAACAAAATACTGAACTGTCATTCTACTGTTGGACTTGAAATGTCTTGGCTTACTAAGCATAAGAGTAACTTTTCAGAGCCAGGATGCTTGACCCAGCCCATGCAGGATGCTGAGTAATGCATTCATTCTTAATCCTCAGTGGTCTGACTCAGGCTGGTCTTCACCCCAAGAGGACAAAGGTTGATAACAAAAAAATAAATAAATAAAAATAACAGAATTTCAAACACAGCTTCATATTTGCTTCCAAATAATTCTTTAGATTACAAACTATAATTCCTTCAGATCAAAACTTCAACACATAATTTTACAAAAGCCTACAGTCTACTCCTAATAATTTAATGTCTATGTAACAGCAGCTCTTTAAATAATATAATTGTCTTTAACTACTAGATCAGAAAAATCATAATTTCCTTGGGCTGGCAAGATGGGATACTTTCCACTCTGTTGTATTTCACTGAGTAAGCATGTCCTAGATCACTTAAACCCTTTACCTGGTGGGATATTTTATTCTAGGAAAATTTGAGCACAGAGCATTTTTCAAAGGAGTAAAACATCGGAAAAAATGCTTTATGGGCAAAATTAAAACAACTTTGAAGGCTACATTTTCTTCTTTGAAGTGCATACCAGGTTTCTGGTGTCCCCTGAATACAAACGATACCAGGTACAAACATAAATGCCCTAAAATAATGCTGGGTTTAAAACTAACAGGAAATGAGGAGTATATTTAATTTTGCACTTTATATTAAAAAACAAAACCAGTTGCCCTGGTCAGGTGGCTCAGTTCGTTGGTTGGAGTGTCATCTTGCACACCAAAAACGTTACAGGTCTGATCCCCAGTCTAGACACACACGTAGGTTGTAGGTTCAATCCCTGGTTGGAAAGTATATGGGAAGCAACCAGTCCATGTTTCTTACATTGATGTCTCTCTCTCTCTCTCATATCAACAAACAAAACCAGTTATTTGAACTATAATGGGTGAAAATTCTACCTGAGTAAATAAAGGAATCTAAACTATATATCCCTAAGGCAAAGAAGGCTTAGCAATCCTAATTATAAGTTAAAAGTATCTTAGGTAAATACTTAGATAAGATTAATTTCTAATTATAAAGCAATCATATTTAATGGAAGTACAGAAATAAATGGAAAGCAGCCTTTTATTAAATAATTTAAATTTCCTGGGCAATATCCTAAACTCACTGATTTGCTTCAGAAACTCTTCATAAATACTGCAAAGGTACATTTCAACCCAAGTACTGTTCTAACTGCTGCAAGGTCTGAATAGGTAGAAGCCAGATGAATAAGGTTTTCATTCTAATGGTAATCTTGATTGATGTCACAACTTTTCCAGGAAACCTCTCATACTGTCTCATCATTTCTGTCATTTCTGAAAGACAGTTATAGTATGGCTATCTATATTTGCACTGTATGTGGGGAAGAGAGAGGCACAAGTCCACGGAAGAGGTAGGAACCAGATGGGGAAGAAGAGGCTAGTGTTAAGAAATAATCAAATCTAATGTTCCTCCTAGCCTTATCTTTTTCTCGTCAATAAAAGTCATATTTAAAAGTAATATTAGTAATAGTCACTAATATTTAACTTTGTAATGCACTGGAAGAATTCTGAAGTCAACACTTCTAGGTAAAGTGTGAGCAAGATGATCAGCATTCTTCAGTCTTTTCCTATCTCCCTTCCTAGCGAACTCCTCACTCCTACACCCTAACACCTTGAACCAGAGACAGACGCTTCCCAATGCAACGGTTCCCTAAATGCGGTTCCCAGACAAATAGCATCAGCATCCCATGAGCACTTGTTAGAAATGCAAATTCCTGGGACTCACCCCAGACCAACTATATGAAAACTCAGGGTATGGGGCTTACCAGAGTGGGTAATAACAAACCTAGTAACTGATTCTGAAACATGCTCAAGTTCGAGAACTACTGCTCAAACTAAATCACTTATCTTAACCAGAGGGTGTCCCAGCCAGAATCTGAGTTGAAAGTTGCTTATATAAGTGAAAACAGCTAGAGCGGTAGCTCTGATAGCCTTGCCCTCCTCCAAGCTACTGCTCCAAACTCTCATTTCTCAAGCAAATCATTAAACTAGCATCCTTGCTCCATAAGGACACAAAAAGGATCAGACTTGGCTTTTCTTCTAAATCCTCACCTACATAATCAAATAAATAAATCACTTTATTTTGGAAGATTACTGTTTAATCAGCCTTTTCCAGAAACATACCACCCAATTCAAAAAGACAAGACAAGAGCCAAAGCAGATTACAAACCAGATTGCATCTGGGAATCAGAAATGTGTGTGGCATTTTAGCAAACCAAGAAGCCGTTACACAACAGATCCCTAACAACAACGTTCTGTTGTGGATACTTTGTGCCTGACACTCAATAAGACATGTTGTCAGAATAAACTAGTGCTTTCTTTTTAGAGTTTTGTCCTATAATGTAAACTCATTATACTGCAATCCTGAGTGAGTAGGGACAGTTGAGAAAAAACTCACCTTATATCAAAAAGCTGTGTTACAAGGGTACCCTACACTGTGGTAATTCTTGTGGTGGTGATTCCTTTACTCAAACCGCCACCAGCTAAAATCCAGGGCATACAGATGTCTTAAAACTGCTTGGTTCTTTTAAGCTCTAGTTTTTGAACAGGAAGAAAAAGAAGGACCAGCCTCCTATGCACAGTTATAATGAATTCGCATATCACTATTTTTTTGCCACGAGAAAAAGCTTCGGAAAATCACATTCTCAAGCAGTTTCACAGAATCAAAAACAATTTCATTTTCAAAGTACTCACTTGGCAGGTACATACTGTCTTCTATAAAAATTAATTGCATTCTGTATTAAGTTTGATAATCATTGTTATTCTTTAGCACACATGGAACAATTCATAAAGTCCTCTGCAATTATATCTATTAGATACAATAAAAAGCAGTAGGGAGGATGCACAGCATAGGAAGAGAATGATATTTAAATTACATATTAAATTAAAATGTAAGTATGTATGTAATGTAATGACACACAGACTCCCACTTGGACACCTCATACCTTTAAAACAAGCCAACAGAGAACCTAGGAACAAACTAAAACAAAGGTCAAATAGACTATGAAATAAACTGGGTTTTTATTCCTACTAATGATTACATATTTTAGCATAAAATTAACTAAGGTGACTAACATATAATGGACATTTAAATGAATCTGTGCATTAATGGCAGAAAGTTCAGAGCCATGGGTATGACTTGAACTACTTGAGACCACAAAATAAATGATAAATGTAGTTTCAGATTAATGCACACTAACGTGTTCAGTCCCCCACTAACTCACTGATATTCTTTCCCCCCTTTGTTGACCTAACCAATACTGACCTACCAGAAAATACCTATATCTAAGATTAAGGGTCAATTGATCTTGATTACTAGGCACTTTAATTTACATCATCTTAATCCTCATATAAACCCTTTGATTAGTATTACCACTTTAATATAAACAAAATGAACTACAAGAAGGTTAAATTTATGGTCACAAAGCAAGTGGTAAAAATGTAATTTAAATCCTGATCTCTTAACACCAATCCCACTGCCTCTGAGAAAAAAAAAAAAAAACAACTGGCCTATGTTATTTACATAAATAAACACATCACTTCTAATGAAAAGAAAAGTTAATGTATAACTACAAAGAATATATTCTATTTCCACGCTAATTATGTGCATTACAATATTACTAATAATGCCTAAGGTAGGAATGTTCTTGGTTTCCAATTTTAGTTTTTCCCAAAAAAGAAACTTACAGTTCTGTGGTTTCTTTTCATTTTCATAAAGAAAAAAAACAGGGGGTGTATTCAACTCAGCTACTCTGTTTGCCACTGAGATTACATAGTAACCCAAAACCACAGCTCTGTAACAAAGAAGAAAGTATGCTAAAAACAATAGCAATATAATTTATAAAAGCAATAATGCCACATGCTTCTGACTGTGCTAATTCATAGTCACAGTCAAGTGTTTGTAAAATCCCACAATGATCATACAGCCAATTCTTCATTATTTCAATATTGGTTTTCCACATTTCGGGTTACTGCAACTGCAATTTCTTCCCATTTCAACCACTAAATCAGGAATATAATGAGATAGGAGAATAAATCACAATAAATTTGACTGAAAAAGTCTTGA